ATACAAAACAAATGTCCTATCAATTGCTAGTATTCAGAAGCAATTTTTCCTCCTCTGTTGCATTTCAAATTTAATTTATAATATTTTTATTATTGCTATTTCTGGCAGTTCAAGATGATCTGTTCAGTTCTATTGAAACTTGCATGATGTTTAAATCAGTTTAGATACAAAATGAAGTTTAGAAAAGAAGTACATTATTCATGTGGCAGAAGTATTATGAATCTTTCATTTTGTAACATCAAAAATGAAGAATCATTAGTTAAAATAGTGTTGTAAATTAAAATCTCTCATTGTGTGCAATTTTAACTTAACAGCATTATTGAAAAATAGTGCTCTATATAAAATCATTTTTAATTTGTAGTTTCGTGTGGAAAATTTCAAAAAACATCACTGATGAATTTTTCATATTTATAGTATTTGAAGGAATATGTCAAATATTTTAAGAAATTTTGTATAGCTAATCACAAGTTGATAATGTTAAATATTTTAATATTACTTTTGAACTAAAATTCCTCTACTATAAATAATACTCTTATAGATAGTTGCTTTGAAGTTTTTGGTTGACTGTGAAGAACTTATAAATAAATTTGCATTGTATAAATTTCAATAAAAAGTAGATGCTATCATCTTTGAGTTAGTATTTGTGTTAGTAACATCATGGTCATTTCACTTTTTTGGTAATTTGTCACACACAAACAGAACCCTAAATCCCATGGTCCTCATCTAAACCTAGCATCAATAGATAGACATGAACTGCAACAGTGATGATGGAAAAAAAGTTTCTTTGTCAAGATGTGTGGAAGACTAGGAGAAAGAACTCTCTGCTTTGTTCCTGTTCCTGTAGCCTCACTTCTCTGAATACTTAATGTTTTTCTGAGTATGACATTCAACCATAAAGACAGGCTTCAGGCATATCCTGTTGCCGTGATGCCTTCTGAGAAGATTCAGCATGCAAATGGGGAACTAGTAGATTCATGGAGTGTGGTTTAGAAACGGAGGCATCCACGTGTGGCGTCAAGCAACCTTAGGTGGGAAGGAATGGGTATAATAATATTGCCAACTAGTTATGTAGATTAAACTTGGTCAGCCATAAAACACTTTATCACAGAATCTCTTAAACAGTACACAGTCATTGTCAGCTCTTATTAAATTTACCATAATTCTATTTTCATGCCAGTAACATATTTACAATGAGTGTTGAAGATTAGAAATCTACTTTGGCTTAAAATCTACATAGATGATTTAAGTATTATATAGATTCTTCTTTTTTTTTTTTCTTGTTTTGAGTCAGGTCCTCTTTACATAGTCCTGGCTGTCCTGGAATCACTATGTAGATCAGGCTAGGTTTGAATGCACATAGACCCACCAACTGCCCTGTAATTTACTATATAGACTAGGCTAACCAGGAATTCACAGTGACCTGCCTGCCTCTGCCTCCCCAGTGCTGGGATTAAAGGCATGCTGTTGGTGAATACATGGGCTTATAAACATTGATGAATTACTTTATTGTTGCCTAAGTCTTTTGTGATGAGTTAAATCTAATTTCTTGAATGCTTTCCTCAGTAAATCTACAGGAAAATTCCTGTAGATTAATAGTAAATTTCGTTGTTCTCTAGGTGAGCCTGCTCTCATTCGTTTAGCAGCAGCTTGCAACTTATTCCCTGATAGTGTCTGTTTGGAGTTCCATGAAACTTGTCAAAAATTATTCATGAATAATAGACACCATCAGACCAACTTTGAGTTGAAGGGAAATAGAGATTCCCTTTAGTTCCCAAAAGTGATATTATAGTATTTATCACACTACTCTTGTCAATGGTATCATTCTATACAGTTATATAGTGTTTCTCCATCTAGTTCAAAGCACCTTCTATTGTCATACTGGGCATTATTCCCTCATGGAACTCTATTTTATATTTTAGTATTAAACCATTGACTGTGTGATGTGGGAAGTCCTTCTGTATATGTGTTGCTTTTATTGGTTAATGAATAAATAAGCTGTTTGGGCCTATTACAGGGCGGAATAGAGCTAGGCAGGAAACTAAACTGAATACTGGGAGAAAGATGGCAGAGTCAGAGAAACACTATGTAGCCCCGGAACCTTTCTGGTAAACCGCAAGCCTTGTGGTTAAATATAAAATAATATAAATGGGTTAATTCGAGATATAAGAGCTAGTCAACAAGAAGCCTAAGATAATAGGCCAAGCAGTGTTGTAATTAATAAAGTTTCTGTGTCATTATTTCATGTCTGGGCAGCTGGGAAATGAACAAGCAACTGAAGGAGACAGACACTCAGCCTGCAGGAACCTTGCCTGTAGACCATGACCTTGTAACAACACATAAAATAATAGAAATGGGTTAATTCAAGATATAAGAACTAGTTAATAAGAAGCGTGAGAGAATAGGCCAAGAAGTGTTGTAATTAATTCTGTATGACTTTTTTCGCGTCTGGGCAGCTGGGAAACAAACAAGCCTTCTCCTACAACTGTGGGTTTTATACTTCTGTAATATAGAATTTATTCAGCATTTAACATAATTGTGTTTATGTCCACTTCAGTGGCAGCGATGCTGTTAATTTGAATACTTGTCTATAGCCGTCTAATGAACTTCAGCAGAGTCCTTTCGAATCCACTACACTTTCTTGGGTTGTTTTCATCAAAGAACTACACTATTACTACAAGGATGGTCACAAAACCCAAAAGGGCTGACCAGGGTCCTTTTGCTCTGGGACTCATAGGAATGCTGGAAGATGGAAGATACTTACCGGTAGATAACTACCTGTGAGCACTAAGAGGAGCAGGGGACTCTCAGGAACTTGTTTTCCTTTCGTGATGAGCTAGGTCAAGTAGAAGAAAGCCTGGCCAGGAGACTGCGTGGAGTCTGCTCTCTCCTCAGCTGTGTCATATATTACAAGAAACACTAGCGACACTGCAATTGTTTTTCATTCTGTAGTTTCCTCACAGACTGCAAATTCCAGATTCTTATTCTAAAACACTGGCAATTTCTCAAGCTTCATAACTAGCCTACGAGGCCACATTACCTAATTGCCATCCCTTCATCCCAGCCCAGGTAAGGTTTCCTGTTTGGGAATCCTCTGTATCTTGTCTGCCCTGGTAGTATAATCTTTTCAACTGCCTTGTAATACCTCTGTAATCTACTTGTCTATTTCCTTCGTGTCTCCAAGGTAAAGTCATTTCCTTTAAGTCTACATTTCCAGGATAATACATCGTATATCCTCTCAGCAAACTCTTGTTGAATGAACAAACCACTGCAGGAGAGAATAGATAATTGAGTGACTAACCATAGGCTTTCTGCTGGAAAGAAACTCGTCTCGCTGGAGAGAAAAATAGCTACACATTCTAATTCAGTGTGTATAAGAGACTAGGGACAAAACTAGCGTATTTAGTTTTTTTTTATAGTGAAAAGTTTTAGAGAATTACCACATTAATTTTAGTGACTGTTTGACAAAGGAAGTCGCATCAAATGAATATGTAAATGTCAAAGACACTTATGGCTAGGAAACTTGGCATAGTCTCAGAGTACTTTAATGCAAAATTAGACCTAATATTGCTGGTTGTTTGTTTTGTATTTGATCTTTACCTTGTTTACTTTGGCATGTAAATGATAAGTTGGCATGAAAATAATCAAGTGCCAGAATAGAACTATCCCATGTTGTCCATATATGCTGCTATGGTTCTTGGACAGTTCCCATCATGCTTGCTGTGTTCCAAGCTTCACTTCCTCATGCCACTTTATAGCCACGCCCCTAGAATTGCTAAGGTTACTTCCATCTCTTATCTTAATTTCTATAGCTACATGTTAGTTGCTGCTTATAAAGAAATTTTTAAGATAAAGATAGAAGTTGTAAGTAAAATTCAAAGCTACCAAGATGATATCAGTTAATATGAATAATAATAAAATATTTATTTAATTCTATTATATATTTATTTAATTCTATTTTATTGACTTATGCTAGTTAAGAAGAAGGAAAGACCAATAGTAGTGTGCCTTCTTACATAAAAATACAAAGGTATATTCTAGGGATGCTATCATAAATGGCAAACATATTTTATCATTTCCAACAAATATAAGTTGGTCACGTAAGCCCTAATATGCACAGTTCTGTCATATGTATCTCATACAAGAGGTTCTGGGCAGATAGCAATGCAGTTCTACCTGTGGTAATTACTACTCAGAAAACTTTTTTTTTTTTATTAATTCTAATTTTTTCAGTCCTTCCAATAGGGGTTCAGGCTAAATTTACCTTCCTTTGAAATTGTGGGTTGTTTATACAAACACTCGCTGCCAAACAAAGTTGTATTAGAGGAATTGCTTCCTTGACAAATTTTAGAGCCATGAATCCCTAACATGGTAAATGCACTGTAAGCAAAAGCTAGGGACTGCTTAGGTGGTTATTTTGACATAATAAATACAAATCATCTTTATTTATTCTTTGAGGGAAGACTTTTGAACAGTGTCTTTTTTATCACAATTCAGGTTGCAATATTTATTTGAAAAATGATAAAATATTGTCGCTGTGAGATGCTTTGTTTCGCTCTAAGATTTTGTCATCTCAGACACCCCTTCTTTCTTTCAACACGCATACAGCTCAATTTAGTGGAGTAAGTGCAAAAGGGGAGGACACAGTTAGGAATAATTCCCCGTTAGACCTCTAAAGTTCCGTTAATCACATCTGATCCATTTCTTTAAAAAATGCTTTATATTGTCAGGGTGGACAGCAAGTCAATAAATGTTCAAGAATGATAAATGGCAGCATAATTACCTCTGAGCAATAAACAATGTCAAGTTAGTTCAGTTTTGCCCAGTCTAGTAACAGGCAAAAATCACTGCAGTAGTTTTGTTAATTTTTCCTTAGGAGTTTTTCAATATCTCAAGGCATTGAGATAAACGTCTTACCGTTATTCATCAGAGAGAAAAGTATTCGTTATGGAAAAATAAATAATCCCATAGTGGTTGTAAAGTATAGCAAAGCAATGTCCTACCTGGGTTACTTTCTCTGTCACATTGTGTGTCCGTTCTTTGACCTTGGGTGCAATAATAGTTTTATCTGAAGAGGGAGGGGATGTATTCTTTTTTTCAGTTTTGACATCTGAAAAGTTCAGAGTGAGCTGAGGAATCTTGTTGATGGTGCTGTATTTGTTGAGGTTTGAATCCGATGTGGACCCCAGCAGACTTGACTTGATATGATTAAAAGGCCCTAGAAAGATTGGAAAGTATTTGTAAAAATAATATCAGAAGAAACAGAAAAAATAAAAAAGATGGTCTTGGATGCCTGGCTAATGATCCATGACTGTGTGAGTCCCATGACTAAGTGCAGTCAGTTTGTGTGTGAACACCTTTTGCCACAAAGGAGGACATGCGAGAATCAAAGGGAAAATTTTGGTATTAAAAGTACGAATGCCAACCTCTATCGTGAACTGGCTTCTCTTATTAAAGGCTGAAAAAAAAAGAGAGAGAGAAACAAAACTAAACAACAAAATAAACAAAAAACCCTGCATGCCCTGCTGATGGCTGGATTCTACCTCAAGTATTCCAATAGATTTTGTTTCCTATTCTGGGGGTGACTTAGGGAAGCATTGACTTAGTTAAAATCATGTTGGTCTTGACATTTGTGCATTTACACAGCCTGGGTTTACATTCCTCTCTTTGACATGTCACAGAGAAGGGACAAGCTAGTTACTTTCTTCAGGTGTTCTACTACCGACATGAGATGATCCATGGAGTTTCTACGAGATTCATGCCTAAATGATGTTGAAAATGACTAAGTGTCTTGTGTGTGTGTGTGTGTGTGTGTGTGTGTGTGTGTGTGTGTGGTGTATACTGGTGTTCTCTGTTGAGATTCTCTGGATTCTTTTTGGGATATTGATATCTTTCTTTCCATTTTACTTTCAGTTACATTAAAATACCTGTAACTAAAGTATATAAGCATGTTGCTATGGCAAACACAGCTTAAACTAGACATAACGGTAGTCAGGAGACAGAGCATGTCTGAATTGGAAGTTGCTAAACACCTTCAACACTCTGTTCCTACAAACACAGCTGGAAAGAGGCCAAGGACCCTGGTTCCCTTGTGGAAGACGAGGAGCCAAAGCAGAGCCATTTTCTTTACAGACGAATCTATTATCTGCTATTTATGATGTCAAGAAATAGTCTGGAGTTCTTATGTGTTGCTTATTCTATGTTATAGATCTTAAAATTTAGCATCATGAAGAACTGTTTCAAATTCCTGAGGCCATGAGTATTACACAGTGTATTTTTGACTGGGAGAGTGGGGGTGGGTGGGGAAAGACTCCCTTTCAGTTGCTTTTGCCTGTCTCATTATCTGAACTTGCTCCACCACCATCATCATTTGCTGGTGCCTCCAATTAGCGCCCCAGTATTGGTACCTGAAGTCTTTAAAAAAATTAAAAAACATAATAAAAAGCGTACTTCAGATGGGGTTTTCCAGTTTCGTATATTTCTTGGCCTCAATTTTAGGCACATTTGTTAAAATTTGTAACACATCTAGGATTTCGGACTTTGTAGACACTGTTGTTTTCCTCCCCACAGAAATGTTGTATTTTTTTTTTTGCCTGGATAATTTATCTGCACTTAGGGATATGAATAAGAAATGTAAGTGGTAACATTCAGGCATACAGCGAAGTTGCATTAAATCGTTACAGTTCGCCTTTTGAATTTATGACTAGATCATCCTTCTTTATGTTGTATTTTTGTAGGAACTTGTCTTCACAGCTGATCTAGGATGTTAATAGCTAGGCAAAATATGTTAGTGTAGTTTTATTGCCCTTATGGTTATTTCAGATCACCTTCTGGAATTAGCTATAGTTATAATTATAGTGTGTGCGCGCGTGTGTGCGTATGCTATGGTTACTGAGGAGTACATGTAGAGGCTATAGAACAAGTTCTTAGTTTTCTTCTTCTAATGTGCGGGGATGGAGCTTGGGCCAGCGCTCTTGAGCTGTAAGTGATTTTACCTGTGAATTTATCTATCAAGCACTAGCCATTCTTAACAAAGCATGTGGTTTGCAAGGTACACCTTGATGAAATTATACATTAACATTTAGCAATGTGTCTATCTTCTGTGCAAGTCAATGTTACTACATCTTATCACATAGAGAAGTAGCCTGAAAGAATGTTTAAGGGAAGGAGAGCTCGCTTGTGAGAATATCGCACTTCCTAATTTCCCTTTCATGTTCTCTTAGTATTATTTTGAGTATTTAACACATTTAGAAATTTATTAAATCTTATGATTTCTCTCCCACTTTACTATTTTTCGATGGGGTATTCAATCATGTCCTTAATTTCTTGGAAGTCAACTTTTTCTACTGTTACAAGGATTATGTCCTTAGCATATTGATATATAAACTAGCATAGTAATATTCGTATTATCTGATTATAAACTGCTTTGCCTTTGTAAGCCCTTTATAGTAAGTTAGAGGACCATGCTATTATTTCAGGAATGCTTAATTATCTCTCAATTTCATTGCAGGGAAATCAAGTGATTAAAACAAAATACTTGCCGAGAAACGGACTCTTCGAACTGAAGCTGAGAAACTCTTTGAAAAACTGTCTTACCCACACACCCCTGGATTGGCAACCTCCCTACAGTCCTTATTTTACTTTCTCTCATTTACTAGGGGAAAAAGAAATCTCCTACATTGTCATTTCATTCTGTTTTTTTTTTTTAGATTTTTAGTCTGAAAGAGTTAAAGAAAACTTTCTTTTGTGTGAATATATTTATTGAATTCAGCATAACAGTATATTTAAAATAAATTATGCACCCTTACTCAGATAGGGCATCCCAAGCATCTTTTCTCCTGTAGAACAGAAAGTGGTGTTCTTCTTTCTCTTGACTTTGAATCAAATATTTACACCTAGAAGTCTTTTAGACTTTGCAAGTTACAGTCTTTTCTGAATTCTATATAAATTCCAGTGGAATATATTCCCAATGCTTTAAGGCAGGGATTAATAATATTCTTTTTCACCAATTCTAAACTAAGCTGACAGAATATGAGGTCAAAAAGGTACAAGTCAAAGACCAAAAATCAAAGTACAAGGTTTCCTACCTCCTAGGTCTACATTCAGAGAGGCCTTGGCTGAGGACTTAGAGTTGATAGGCAGCCTCACTGACAATGATCATGAACAGATGGGATTTGGGATTCTAATGAAAGAAAGGAGATTAGCCTGAAAAACAAAGTAAATGAATTTACAGAGAAGGAACAGGCAGAAATAAGGGGACATGATCAATTCAGTTGAGGGGACTATAAGACTCAAGTGTACCAGGAGACTGACGTTCTGTGAGGGAGAGCAACGTGAGGGGTAACAACGTGAGTATGCCAATGTGTGATTAGGAAACGGAAAGCAGGTGACCAGGGAGGCTACAGCAAAAGTTGGGTAGATTTTAGCACCAGTACCTGATGAAGTTATAAAATAAGCTACGTTTTCCAACTATGCATAGAGATCCAGCAATAACTAAGAAGAATTTCAGATTTGAAAATACTTAAAATGAGACTGTCTAAATTTATCAGGAGTAAGAAAATGCTTTATTATTATTGTTGTTGTGTGTGTATGTTTGTGTATGTGTGTGATTTGTATTTATGGGCACAAATGTCAAGGCATATGTACATCATAGGGTGGTTTCATGGCATGGGTTCTCCCTTTACATAGTTGAACAAGGTTTCTTGGAATCAAACTCAGGTTGTCAGGCTTTCATTTTCTGGCAGCCAGGGCCTTTACTTTGCTATCTTGTCGGACATGTACAGTATTTCTTAGGGCATTGAATTACATTTGTTAAATGTAATGAAACATACAACTAATCTATATTAACATTAGCAAAAATGCCAGCGTAGCATTGGCAATGACGCTTTGCCAAAGAACCCTGCGAATAAGCATCAGCCAAAAAGTGCTGTAGCGCTCAGAAAAAGACAGAAACACTCATCAAGTTACTTGCATTCAGTGTCTACAAATTCTGTTCCTCTGCGTGACGTATAATTTGCCAGACAAATTGTCACCACTAAGAATCAATTTGCAAATCTTGGTAAGATCATAGGCATCTGGATAAAGGCCAATACAAAGTATGAGAAACAAGTTCTGTTAGATCTCTCCTCTCTCTCTCTCTCTCTCTCTCTCTCTCTCTCTCTCTCTCTCTCCCTGTCTTTTTCTCTCTCTGTCTCTTTCTCTCTGTCTGTCATTATTTTTGTTCCTGATAGGTTTCCTGGCTACAGTGGAAGTGATTGCTCTTAGCAATCTTGATAGCAGTTTTGGTTTCTGACTCAAGATAGTATCGTGTTCTAGTTGGAAAGTGGTCAACATGAAATAGAAATCTGTAGTCTTAGGAAGCAACATAGGGCACAACATTTTCAAGGACTTACTAAATAGGAAGAGAGGAGTAATGTATCTATGACTTAGAATGCAGGACACATGGACAAACTACTAGGTGTGAGGTGATAATTGAGTGACTGAAATACCAGTAGAAACCCTTCTGAAGCTCTAGAGATAGGGCCTCGAATCATATTATCTACATACGTTATGCCATTTGTTAAAAGTTGCTGTACTCCTTCTCCTTCAGGGATTACAGTTTCTAAAAATAGCAAGTAACTGTTGTTTAAAGTGTTAGAGTGACAAAGAAACTTATCGAAGGGAAGCAGAATTGATCTGAAGAAAGGGTCTGTGTATTTAGTTTTGGAAGGAAAGGCTGAGTGCCAGCCTACTGTCTTCTGCTGGTAAGATTTTTATGCTTAGAGTCCTTGATGCCAGAGAATATATCTCTGTCCACTGGGGACAGATGGAAGGAGAAAGGATTTAAGCCAATGCTGGTTCTCTGTGGAACAGGAACTAAAACAGACTTCCCAAGATAGTAAACGCATGACCTTTTCTGAAAATAAAGATGTCAGTACTCCTTGTGCCAAGGAATTAGGCGGCACCTGAGCTTTAAGGGGACCACTCAGACAAACCTGCAAATCCTTTGTCTGTGTTACCAGGTTATTTATGCTCTTTTGTCGGGAAATGATTTCTGGTCAAAGTGGATGATACGTTTTGTGTTTGTATTTATTATGGCTTAGAGTCAGTATTAATTTGTTTTATAAGCACACTTGATGGATCATCCAGTATCTATTTGTAGTTTTATGAAAATGGCAGTTGTAAAACTGATGTGCATCTGAAATATATGCACACATACACACACACACACAAAAAAAAAACAAAAATGAACTTTAATCAAGCAATTGGGATTTCTACCTAAAACACAGGGAATACGGATAAAGGTTGGTTTGATGGAGTAGTTGATGAAATTAAAATAAATTTTTTTTGACAATAGATGAAGGGTAGGTTCTTTCTCTTTTCCTTCCTCCCTTATTTTCTTTCTTTTTCCCTTTCTTGATTTGGGTGCTTGGGATCTGATTAAGGCTCACACATATGGGTGATCTACCTCTGAATTATATATCCCTATTACTGGAAAATTAGTTTAGGAGCTAAAGCCAGCCAAATTTGGACATAATTTAAACAAACTAGATTCATTTCTCACTTTGACTTTCAAAAAACAAAACCAAAAACCAAAAAAATCCACAGAAAAATTAATGTCTATGCATTTACTCATCTTAAGTACTAGTAGTATTTCCAAGGACCAAGCAGGCAATAGATCTTTACATTCTTTCTGAGGATTCATTCTGAATTGTCAACTAAAACTACCATGCCCAACTAGAATAACTATGTAGATAAACAAAACAAAACAAAGGAACAACAACAACAAAAAGCCCATCCCACTATTGGAGGTATCTTGTACAGATCTTCCTTGAAGTGCTTACAAAATAGTAGGAAAGGCAAAGGAAACACTCCTACAATCTCGTTGATTTACAGATTATCCTGGGAGTTTGATCACATAACACCTACAGTGTCTAGTACTGCTCATTCATCAGCAACAGCAGTTCTGAATCAATTATGGAAGCAATTAAGATGTCAATTACACAAAACTGCACAGTGGTCAGAGTACCAGTGATGCAAAGAAGAGGCCCAGACAGTAAGTTCTGAGGAATGATGGTTACTGGTGGAGACATGTTCATGCAACAAACATGCACAAGATGCATCACTGACATCATTTCCACAGCCACAGCAGCATGCACGGGCAAACACCATGCCAAAAGTTTTGATCCTTGCATCTACTGTGATAAGATAGCCAAAGCAGAATTGGATTTCAAATTTTAGCCAAACCCAAATTTATCCAGAGTATCTCCCGGTTAAATATTACTCTGTGGTAGCTGTAAACCATGTCAGTGATTAGAATAATATAGAATACATTTTAAAATGATTGAAGTATAATAGAGAAAAAGTAGAAAATGACTCTCATGCAAGTACAGTATACTACTACAGTAAGCTTAAAACCATACCCCCTGCCATCCAGGAACGTGAAACTAGTTTTAAGGAAACAAAAGAGGAACAAGTGAAGTGATGCTGTCATAGAGCTTTGATCATTCTATTTAATCTTGTACTCAAGAAAAGACAGAGTCCCTGCAACAGTTTATGTGCTTCTTTTATACTGGAATATATTCATCTTGACAATTGTTTCTTTCCAAATGTCTAGGAAGTGTTCACCGTCAATCTTACATCCTTTTGTTCAGGATAAAAAGGTGTTCATCATCACTTTGATGGCACAGCAGAGAAAGTAATCATGTCTCCAGCAAAACCAAGCCATGATGTCTCCACCAGGCACCTGGACTAGCTGAGGGCAGCATGGAGATGTGGCATCAACAGGGCATATAGCAGGCAAGTTAACATGCCAAGTAAAGGGCACTTTAAGCATCAGATGGCGAATTTGAGTTTATACGTTACCTTTGACATTGCGACCATTGTCTGTTTTGAGCATATAAGGATAAAAGAGAGAGAAATATAAAACAGAAGACTAAAATTATGTTTAGCACACCAAACTAGCTTAGTAGAAACAATCAGAGAAACCAGGATGTAAATACAGAAAATGGAATTTTGGTTGAGGTGAATATTATAAATCATTAATCAGGAGAAATGCACAAACTGAAATATCAGTTATAATAAACATCACAAATAACTGAAATACGTCACTTAATTTAAACAAATTGTAAGTAACAGATTTTATAATTACAGCATTTTAGAGAAAGATCTGCATAGTTGCTGGTAATTGTGGTAATTTACAACCTTGTCAAAAGCCAATCTTTATGTCTCCTCAGCTGTAGCTTGTAACAAAGGAAACCATACAACATTTTGTATGTCAAGTTTTTTCCATATACTTAAACCTAGGAATGTTAGTATGGACAGAAGTTTTTAAGACAATGGAATAATACATATTTGAATTATTTAGGATACTTTTGTTAGCTGTCCCTTTACCCTCAACTGTTCTTTACTGTATGCTTTAAAAATATCAGTCTTTAACGAGTCATTCTTAGGCAAAAAAATAATTGCAACATATCAGTGAACACTTTATTGTATAAAAAGAATTTGCATTTTTTTCTATGTAGCATAAAACCTAGAATATTTATACATTTGCTTATATTAAAGCAGGTGTTTTCAAATCTTGGCATAGTGTTTTCAGATTTATTTTGAGAGTAGAAATCTAAATGTTTTCTATGTGGTACTAAAAATATGTATTAATATGTATTACCAGCTTTGAAATACACAAGCTTAAAATAAATGAAGTCATAACAAACCCTTCAAATGTGTTCAAGATTTGATAAATTTATGTATTTATTGCCATCTATCTTATCACCATGCATATCTAAAATCTTGAGATAGACCATAATTGTCTCTAAGCTTATGTTAAAAGTAATTCCAATATTGTGGTTTATGAAATTGTTAGAGAAGACATGGCCTTGTCAATACTATGTGCATAAAATGTGACTTTCAGTGGCAACTTGTTCATCTCTTTTAACAAGTCATTTTTAAAATAGGACCGTGGGACAGTTTTCTTCTACATAGAGATGGTTTCCCCTCACAATATTCTACAGTCATTAGCAAAGTAGTAACTGCTTTCCCAGTAGTTAGAAAAAAAATCATAAATGGAGCTGGGTTTGATCCCCAACACTGCTGAACACTGCTAATAAAATGCTCACTATAAAACGCACATGCATGCACCCCCCACATACACGACCATGCACATGTGCGCATATACACACGTGTACTTGCTAAGCCCAGATCCTATAAAAACAAATGGGAAAAAAGCTAGCAGAGTGAAGCTTTGACACTGAGGAAGAATGAGAAGTTTGAAGATTAAAATGAGTCAACAGTTCTTTGCTATTTCTTCTATGCCCATCAGTGGTTGTATTTAATTAGTTGATTGGTTTTTGGCTAAATTTGGTCTGAAGTTAAAGTACAATACTATACATTTATTAGTCTGAAGTCACATATCCACTGTGACATCCTTATTACCGACAATATGAATGTGCAGAACATAGAATACTTAGACTCCTTTGTAGTATTTTGGCAGACTAAATTCACTGAATATAATGATAAACTAATTAAGGTTTATATTTTCCATGTCTATCTTTTACTTTATAACACTACATTTTTACTGAATTTTTATAGTGTTAATTTAGAACAGATCACAAAAAGACTCAGTTGTCTGTAACATGTGCCTTAGGAAGAAAAATTCCAAGGTACTTTACAATAGACATAAATAAGAAGATTATGTAAATATCACCTAGCAATATGCTATTAAATATTTACAGAATTCTAAGGATAGAGCACTTAAGAGCACAGTTCTGTGTTGGAATGAGGACATTGCAGCTCTAACTCTTGAGCTTCTATAATTTTATATCTTAATCATTTTCAAGGGTTTATAAAACTAAAATCAACTGTGAGGGTTTTCCATCTATTGTTACGCATGCTCAGTTTCTCAAATATATATAGAATTATACGGCCCCCGGAATGGTAGTTCCTTTAATGCTCATCACTGTCTTTTAGGTAAGATCATTTCAAGGTTGAAGTACTGCAGTTGCATGCCCTATGAGTTTATCAGGCTGTGGCACACACTGACTGCGGTTTTGGTAGGAGAGAAATACTGCCCAAAAGGGCCCAGCCCAAAGAGGAGAGGAAAATTGAGAGTGAGCCCATCATCAAGCATCTATACACAGATCCTGTACTGAGAAATCTAAGAAATACCGTCACACTTTCCTATAACTGTCTTAGTAACTGTACTATGTGGAGGCCACCTGAGAGGAAAATGACAAACATAAGTTATAAAACCTGATACACAACACAATACTGAGAAGTTCCAGAGAAGCACAGGGGAAGGATGCAGGATGTGCTGAGTCTGAGATGTTGGCTTTTCAAATTTATTATCATAAACTCAGTTTCCTAGGAGAAAACCCTGATGATTCTGTATGCTTGTTAAAGATGAGCATAGTAACTGGTAGGGACCAACTAAAGCATATGCTGTTTATTTGAAACACTACTGAATTTATTGTGACTCGTCCACAGGAGTCGTTGCTCAAACATCCAGTTACACAGGTTTCACTCAGTCAGAAAATACTGAACTCACCTCTCCTGGGTGAGGATCTGGAAAAAGGGACCTTTCAAGAATCTAATTCTACAAGGAATGGAGAAGAGTATCAGGCCTGCTACTGACTCTCAGACTCCTGGTCTTCACTTATATTGAAGTCTTCTGCAGTATGAACGACGGAAGCAGTCCTTGCCCTGTGGCAGTTGGAGACTTACCCATAAAGGGAGATTCAAACTGGCTCCTAACCTGTGAGAGTTGCTCTGAGGTTTAACTGAGACTTAATGTGTGTCAAACACTTACACTGCCTCAGGCATCCTAACTGGTCCATGTTACCTATTATTGTGCTAAAGATGGATGGTATCTGTGGTGGCTCTCAAAGCATACTTTTCACACTGGCTGCCTTAGGAATGTGAGAGGCTAGGGAGAGAATAAAGTCTCACCCTGCTTTCCAAGTTGCCCAGTGAGTTTTCCCACTAACTTATCCCCTCTTTCCCACCTGCCTCCCACCTCTGATGGTCAGTAACAGTCCTATGAGGGCACGCTGTTCTTTCATTCAGGGTCTGATCAGCTACTAAATTCAACAAAATTAATTATGCTTAAGATAAAAGAATTCACCACCTAATCACATCTTAAATTAAGCAGTAATTAATTAACACCCCAGGAAGCGGGCTGATAATGGTTATACTATTTCAGAAGCACCGATAAAGAAGCCAGAAGAAACCAAGTTACTCACTGGGGTTCAAAGAGGAAATGAGAAAAGGTGCTTAATGCAAGATCCGTGTTCTTAATAGCTTTTAATCATATTTCTTCTTTGAAAAAGCAGATTACTGTTCAATTTTGAAACAATACAAACATAAACTTCCATCACCCAACCAAAAGAATGTTTCCATGTTTAAAAAGAATAATCAAACATACCTTCACTGGCATGTCGATCTCTAAATATGTTCTTGGGATGGACACTGAAGCCTTCTATATCGTGAACTGAAGATGCTCTCCGGATGCTGCAGAGGCTTTCCCTTGATCTGGAGTGTGTTAGTTGGGAACTTGACTGCAGCATGTCAGGGTAGAGGCGGTCCCATTGCCTTTTGGGAGAGGAATGGTCCAGAGGTCCGGATATGTTCACTAAGGGGGAACACTGGCTAGGCTGTATCAAGGCCTTTGTGTCATCTGCTTCAGAGGGACTGCAACTTTCTTTCGTGGGAGACTTGAAGTGTTTCATGGCCACAGAGTCATCGCTGTGTTTGGAGGAATCAATGACTACCACATCCGGGTCTTCCTGTGGCAAGGACTGCTTTCTGTATGTTAGAACTCTTAGCCCGGGAAATTTGAACCCAAAGAGTTTCCCTACAAAGGAAGACAGAAAAGAGTGTTTTCACACTGTGAATATATATTTTAAAACTAATAAAAACAATAAACTCATATTGAAATATCATACAAAATAACTGCTATACTTGATACTATAAAAATAACTATCTGTATTTAATTAATTCTGCTTTAATGAGAAATATTGTAAAAAAGTTTTCTGAGTATAATAAGATATATATATATATAAATATATATATGTATGTATCCTGCTTTTGATAATTATAAAACAGCTCAATGAAATGAAAACTTTATTTACATGACAGAAACCTTTAGTTTATAACAGATTAAAAACATGTATTCAGTAAAAACCCATAATTTAAACAGGAAAAGAAAGAACCTATGTCTTGTATCAAGGGACACACACAGGAATGAGTGGGTCTATGTGGGGTGTACATGGAGTGGTAAAAATATTGATGGTAACAAAATAGTACATGAAACGGGCTTGATACCCTTGTAGTTTTGTCTTTAATAGTATTGTAATTTCAGTCTGAGTGGTAAAAAGGGGGGAATCAATGGTATATCAAAGGCTCTCAATCCATCTGGTAGTTTTGAAAAGTTATAATGTCAAATGTTTTCCACCTTATTTTCTTCTATAAAAGTCATGGAAACTAATCAACATGGACACTGTTGTTTTTTGTGCATGGACTACTCAATCCATTGAAGATGGATTCTAAAACACAAGAGAACCTAACTCTAAACTCAGCATCTTTTCTCCATTTTGGAAACATGCATAGCGAATGATGTTATCTATCTATTTATTTTTAATCCTATTCTTAACCCAAATACTATAAATTTATGTCTCCAGTCCAGATTTTTACGCTGAGTTCCAAACTTGTGTATCTAAAACTGGCAACATTCCCTCTTAAAAAGTTGCAAGTTATCTCAGATTCTTAGTCCACATTCCAATCTCCTGATCTAGCCTCCAAACTCAGCTATTTTTCAGAGCAAATGGCACTGTAATCCATCTAGTTGGTTAAGTCCGAGGCTTGAGGGACATCCTCAGTACTGTTCTCTGGCCTCATCTTCTAGAACCCATTAATATCAACCTCTTGATTGCATTCATTTCACTTTTCCCATCATGTTTTTTATGTTTACACCTTTTCCCTCAGTCTAATGGCCCAGCTGACCCCTTGGTATAGAACGCTGGTCACTTGTTATACTGGCGACAGCAACAGCGTTTCTTGTTCACCTCCCAAAGACAATGAGTTTTATGTCCTCAAACATTCACACTGAACAAAGTAGACTACTCTCACTTCTCTTCATAAGTTCTTACTTAGAGAGTGTAATCTCTACCCCATCTTTAATTCCTCTCCTTGGACTCTAGAATCCAGCCACGATGTCTTTTATATTCCTTTGGACTCCCATGCTTCTTTCAGATTCTGGGCTCACTTCTGTTAGATCATTGCCTTTTGTCTACTTAATTGCTCCTGCAGGTTATAGCCCAGCAGAGTTGCTTCAGAGAGGCTCTTCCTTCCCTCTGAACCATGCTGACAGTTCCACACAGTTTTCACTGCATAACGTAATAATAGACTCAGTGATTTCCCGATTAACACTTCTTTACACCCTTTTAAGGAAGACCTTGTTGATTTTGCCTCAGTTTAGACAAAATGACCGAGCATGGCAATGGAGTTATACAAACACATAATAAACTGAGTTGATAATGTTGCTTAGTTTGGATTAAAATATGTAATTACTCTGATCTTCATACTTATGTAATCTTAGCCTCCTGGGGAACTGTATCGACTTCTATGCACTTTGCAATTGAGTGGAACTAAACACATCACGGGAGCTCTATATCATGCTCCATATACCTGAAACAACCCTTATTACCAATTTCAGCCTTTTAGTGAGGGTTTACATTGCTTCCGTTCTGATTGCTGAGTTTACACAGAAGTGTTTTCTTGTCTTGCATGATCTAGGAAAATATAGATAGATAAAATGCTTGTTGGAGAACAATTTAGAATGAAGCAGGCTAATTTATTATGCCAGTGTCGCACTAGTAGTCTAGGAGTTAATAATGCTCAAAGTAATGGAAATAGGATTTATTTCTCTAGTAAAGTGCGATGACACAAGACAAGTATATTAAACATATTGTGGATTAATATGCAAAGATGAGAGCAACCAATCTGCACAAATAAGATTAGATATCAGGGCAAAACTATAAGGGTTTTGAAAGCATTTTTTTTTACATGTTTCTACTAACAGTTTTATATGCTCAAGTCGATTGCTAAGCTCAAAATCAGTGAGCTGCATCAAAGCCATTTGATTAGTGCTTAATGCACATGAAATTGAGTTACAGTTTACAAATCAATTTTGCAAGTTTTATTACAATGCATTGAAGGGCTATGCCTACTTTTACTCATTTTTCATCAGTTACATTACACCCCCCCCCCAAAGAACACCCAGTAGCTCTCTTAAACTAATGACCACACGGGCGTTTATTTTGCTCCTGTAGTTATTTGCAGCCAAGGTGGTCCAGATGGTCTTTTCCGCACCACTAGGCTAACATGACCATGTTGTATTGCATTCCGGATTTAGTTGTCTCCGTGTAGTTCACGCGGAAAGAATGCACATTGAGAAATTTGTGCGCCACTATACTTCCCTAAGGCATGGAATTTAAAACGTAGGTAAGTGTAGCGCTGCTGTGCCTTTTAACTCTGCAAAATGTCTTGCTAAGTCTTCAGGTTTTATTAAGTTTACTTTCTTACTTGGATAATTAGATTTTATTTAATCTCATGTCTGCTAAAATAGTACACCTGAAATAGGAAAAAAAAAAGCTCAACATTTTTTCACAACTCTTATACATTGTCAGATAAGGATAAATATTGATAGATTACTTCCATGAATCTAACTTTGCTTTAATACAGAATTTAAATAACAAGTGCTGGTAGCTATGTACATTAGAAATGGTCTTTCTTGGGGAAAATGAATATTAGTACAAAAGATTTTTCACCTAGCTTTTAATCATTAATTTTTCTTACAACTGCAAGTTTTTGTTTTCTTCATTCCATTTATTATCATTTTACAAAATTTTAGAACATCAATGATCTAAGAATTTTACTACTAAAGTACAATATGTGGCTTAAAACTTGCCTAGTTGTTCCTGGTTGAGTCTTGCACCAAGAGGAGAGATCCTTAAGTGTGAATTGTTACGTAAATAGAGCTATCTTTAGGTGTGGCAAGGATAATGAGTGTGGAGGGAAATGGAGCGGAGAGAAGTAGGGAAGGCTGCCAGCTTTTCTTTTAGTGAAGGATTGAAAACAAACTTGCTGGGCAGTGGTAGAGCAAACCTTTCTATGAGTTCGAGGCCAGCCTGGTCTACAGATGGAGTTCCAGGACAGCTGGGGTTACACAGAGAAGACCCATCTCATTAAAAGACAGAGTGGGGGGGAGGAGAGGGGAAGGATGAAGGAAGAATGAGGGGGGTGGGGGAGAAGGAGGGAGAGAGAGAGAGAGGAAGGGAGGGAGGAAGGAAGGAAGGAAGGAAGGAAGGAAAGGGTTGCTTTCAGACCTTACTGTGTTTCTAAATCTGCCGTCTTCCTTGTACAAGAAGACTCAAGATTTCAGGATTCCAAGGTGATCTTAAACTCTCTGCTGCTTATTTGAAGCCTCTTGTATCTCTACATCACCCAGTCCCTGGCTCCTACCTATAAGCAGTATCCGCAGACCTACTGAGAGGCAGTTTGGTGTGTGTAACAATTCATACTTTCAGTAATTTTGCTATTACAGTCAGGAGCATAGTGTCTTGTACAAAGAATGGGAAAAAGAGCCACCTTTAGTTCTGCAAAATAACATCCAATGTGGACTTAGCTCTGATCAAATGGCTATCCTGAGTACTGAATTATAAATGGACCAGTGTAGCCAGTGTAGTTTGGGAGCTACAGAACAAAACAAAACAGAATAAAACTCCGTGGAGTCCACTGGCAGGCAGCAAAGTTGAAGCTAAATATGGGGCTCCTTGAATGAGCAGATGTGATCAGTAGAGACATATAAGACTAAGTCTCCAATGATACAACTTAAGAGCAGTTGATGCAGAGAAAAAGCAAGATCGCACAAAGGAAGGGAGCAGTGAGCAATGGAACAATTGGAATCTTGAAGTGATGTGAGTTGCAGAATGCTGTGTGAAGGTCAGGGATCAGCTAGGGCTGAATCCCAGCATTAAAACAGTTGCAGCAGCAGCAACAGCAGTAGCAGCACACTCCTCTAAACTTGTTAAAGATTGCTGCTGGTGTCTGAGAAGCCCTGCTTCCAGTCTGGCCACATCATCATGACAGCAAAGGAGGCAGCAAGCAGAGATTTGGACGAGGGAGATAAGCAAAAAGACAGGGTAACAAGATTGACTGCTTTTAACCACTCATTCACTAAGGAGACAGGGAACGAGTATAATGCACCAACATTACATATGCCTAATTACATCTCCATGCGCTTGAAATAACCACTAAGTCAATAAATGCATGATTTTACCATATTATTATTAAGTTTCCCTCGGGTATATATGGTTTCCTCTCTCCAAATGCCAAGTTAAAGAATCAATTCAGGTCTCCTGGATGTGATAACATCTTAAGATTCTGGGTGATCATGCAGCCATCATGCTGATGGGAGCCCTAAACAGAATGTTCAAAGCATTAATGAGAAATGGTCCAGTTTCCCAAATGCTGGAAGGCTAGAGAGTGTCCCTGATTTTCATGTTGCTAGGTAACAAAATATTCCACAAGATGCTTACAAGGGGGACCGGCTATGCTTATGCTGACCTGGGTGCTGATCAACATCCCTTATTAACAAAGTACGTACTTCCCCCCCAATAACAAGCATTTCAATTGATCTTAGATCTATGTTCTTTACTCGTATGATGGGGAAACTATAACATAAATTTGACTGAACGTTTTCCCTGTTTGTTGTTGCAACAATGTCATGGTTCCTTTTTCTATATCAAATTTAATCCTTAAAGAAAAAGACTTTCAAAGGAAGGATGAAAGTAA